TACAAACTCGAGCTAGGCGCGCTGGTAAACGTGGCCAGGTGCCAGCCCGTCCGGGAGCACGTACAGTGGGTCACGCGCTGACCTCCAGGAGTGAACTGGTCAACCCACTGGTACTGGAGGTCACCACCACTCACCAAGTTCGTAGAGAACGAGGGGAGGTGAAGACCTGACAGGGAGCCAGACGGGACCGCCGGACACGGCAGGACCGTGGAGGAGTGCGCAAGGACTGGACCCCCAGAGGGGTCTGCCAGGGAGACTGCAACTGGCCGACTGAGCGGCGTGAGGGTGGTGGTGTCGCGAAAGAAGGAGCGGGAAGCACCTGAGTCAAGTGTGAAGGTGTACAAGGCCTCAGTAGGCGCAGTACCAGAGAGAGCAGACTCACCAGTACCTGGAGCAGCAGCCTCACTAGCACCTAGAGCAGGAGACGCACTAGCACCTAGAGCAGCAGCCTCACCAGTACCTAGAGCAGGAGACGCACTAGCACCCAGAGCAGCAGCCTCACCAGTACCTAGAGCAGCAGGCTCTATACCTGGGTCAGGCGGTACGCACAGGTAATAGGCACGGTCAGCACTAGTAGGCAATGCATACATGGCAGTGAGAATAGCATCATAGTCAAGAGCAAATATATCTACCCTTTGCCCAAGCAGCTCCACCCAGTCGGGGAGCTCAGCCTCGTCGCCAAACTCGGTACGCCAGGCATCGCTTAGGCGGGCGAAGCAGCGGGACTGTGTGTGACTAAGCGTCCCGCAAGCCTGACCAGTCCGATCACCTGTGCGAATGACGTACGGGCAGCGAACGGTACTCAAAGACCCTCTACTCTGAGCGTACCACTCTCGAAGCTGCTGGGGCGTAAGTGTCTCGCGCGGACGCCATTGCAGCTGCAGCTGGCCACTGTCAGACGCTCCCGACCGACCAGCTCCAGGGCGACAGCCACGACGGCTACCGCCACAACCCCAACTAGCGTACCACTCACGAAGCTGCTGGGGCGTGAGACACTCGCGCGGACGTCGCTGGAGCTACATCTTGCCACCATCAGTAGCAGCAGTAGTAGTAGTAGTGGCAGTAGTAGCAGCAGCAGCGCGGGCAAGGCAGGCGCGGCAGGCAGGCAGACAGGCAGGCAGAGGGCGCGGCAGCACGCGAACAAGGCAGGTGCTCACTAGTGGCAGGCAGGGCCGGCGCTCGACGGGGCCGCAACAGCGGCTGCAGAGTAGGGCCGCGGCAGCTGCAGGGCGGGGCCGCGTCAGCGGCAGGTCGGGGCCGCGTCAGCTGCAGGGCTGGCGGGGCCGCGTCAGCGTTCAGGGCGCGGCCGCGTCAGAGGAAGGGCGGGGCCGCGTCGGCGGCGGCGCGACCACGTCAGAGGCAGGGCGGGGCCGCGTCGGCAGCAGGGCGCGGCCGCGTCAGAGGTAGGGCGGGGCCGCGTTGGTGGCAGGGCGCGGCCGCGTCAGAGGCAGGGCGGGCCGCGTCGTCGGCAGGGCGCGGCCGCGTCGGCAGCAGGGCGCGGCCGCGTCAGAGGCAGGGCGGGGTCGCGTCGATGGCAGGGCGCGGCCGCGTCAGAGGCAGGCCGGTCCGCGTCGGCGGCAGGGCGCGGCCGCGTCAGAGGCAGGGCGGGGCCGCGTCGGCAGCAGGGCGCGGCCGCGTCAGAGACGGGGCGGGTCCGCGTCGGCAGCAGGGTGCGGCCGTGTCAGAGGCAGGGCGGGGCCGCGTCAGCGGCAGGGCGGGCCGCGACAGCGACCTGGCGGGGCGGCGCTCTGGCCTGACGGACCTACAGGGGCGGCTCGCGGGCCTGACGGGCCTGCAGGGGCGGCTCGTGGGCCTGACGGGCCTGCAAGGGCGGCTAGTGGGCCTTACGAGCCTGCAGGGGCGGCGCGCGGGCCTTACGGGCCTGTAGGGGTGGCACGCTGGCCTAGGGCAGCAGGAGGCAGCGCGAGGGCTGCAGGACGGCGCGCGCAGCGCAGCACGTCACAAGGCAAGGCAGGCAGGCGCAAGACAACACGTGGGGTAGCGCGGTAACCGCAACGGTAGGTGGGCCCGAAAAAAAAGACGGTCCTACGGACCTAGTGCTCTGATACCATGTTAGAATCTAGCAGGGATGAATGCACTATGGAAGAGTTGGGTACAAGTATGAAACCCTAAACGGGGCTGTACCCCATATTGGCTACCCCACTGCAGCCTACACACATATAACATGCATATACTTTGACACGCCACCGCACGACTTGCCGGCGTGTAGCCCGTCAGCATCCACCACTGGAAGACGGTGGTAGCAGAGATTGAAGGGTCAGCTGCAAGCCGGAAGCGGCTTGTTGGAGGCGGGCGCCTGGCGAAGTACCCGAACAGGAGCAATCCGTGTACAACCAGTTCCTGGCCTACCGTGCTCGCGGCTTGGCAGTCTCCATAAAACTTCTGAAGATGTGGAGTCGCACGTCAATGAAGAACCGCCACCCACAGGTGGACTAGTGCGCATCTCCCCATTGGACCCAGCGAGTCCGAGCATGGTGGGGTCACACTGTGAGGGTAAAAACCAAGATTGGCCAGCGCCTCACCAAAGGTATGTTGTATAAGAAGTTTAGAGGCAATTCTACGTACCATAGCCTTCCGCGCCATTGCGACCATCCCTTTGTTATGCGTCGTTCTCGAGAAGCGTGTTCTAACTTGGATTTTTTGTTTCCTATGTGGCACACAGATTGCATGTCCAAAAGCGAGAGCTTCTGGAAATTCTGTCTCAAGCAGGTGGTCGAACACGGTATCGACCCATGGAACACAATGAACGCTGACCAGGCACCAGTTTTTCTGGAAATGCCTCACGAGCGGACACTTCACCACCGGGTTGAGAGGACCGCCCAGATTCACACGGCGGGCTACGAGAAGGAGCGGATATCGGTCATGCTGGGCGTCACCGCAGATGGGCGAAAGCTTTCGCCCATGGTGATTTTCAAACGCAAAACTATACCCAACATCCGCGTGCCTCAAGGTGACGCTATTGTATCATGATGTGCGGCAAGTGTTCAGGTTTCATGTAGAGTACAGCCTGTATATCTAATCTATATTGTTTCTTGCTTCCTTGCGTGCAGGCATGCTCATCCGACTCCAAGAACGAGGGTGGATGGTCGTCCCCCTCGTCATGGACTGGGTACAACACATATTCCTACCCTTTCTCCGCCCCACCCATGGCAGAACTCGTGGGAAGTCGCTGCTGGTGCTCGACTTGTACCGCGGCCATCTCATTGAGGCGGTGCTTGGGTCCTTGCGCTGGCATAACATCGTCCCAGCTATCATCCCAGACGGCTGCACGCCCTTGTTGCAGCCTCTCAATGTCAGCGTCAACAGGTCCTTCAAGGCGGGAGTCCGGCAAGAGTACAATTCCTGGTTTGCTGAGATCGGCATCAACTCATTCATCCCTGCAGGTACCGTACCCTATATCTAAACCTCCTAGCGCACTCTCGCCCTAACACCGTGCTTACAAAATCTTTTCCTTGTGCAGGCAAACTCAAGAAGCCACCTACAGAGGTCATCCTGCGCTGGACCGTGGCTATTTGGGATGTGGTGCCAGATGACGTGATCGTGCGCACCTTCAAGACCACTGGCATCAGCAACACGCCTGATGGGCGCGAGGATGGTCTGGTCCTAGCGCACATGAGAGACCCGCGCAGGTCGAGGCGCACGATGACGTCCATGCAGCGGGAGATGTGGAAGAGTGGGTGAACCCACTCTATGCTTCCGGACCCATGGAGGATGAGGATGAGGAGGCAGATGATGAGGAGTAGATTCAGTGGTGAAGGAACTTGAGGGTGTACGGTACCTTAAGACGTGCAGGAGGTGTACGCTGTGTAGGAAGTGATAGACTAGTCTAGCTGAAGCATTAGGCAGTAGGTTGTATCTAACTGGGAGATGTGTAGTTAGGTTTTTAACCATGTGACCTGCTTAACCATATTAAAACGAGAAATTTAGTGTTGAAATTCTACATTTTGTAGAAGGGGGAGGGTCTTATAATGACTAATCCTATAACACGGGTCCTCACGAGGACTGCCAAAATAAAAGACCCTGTACCTGCATACCAGTAAACCCCCGTATATAAGACCCCCTCCAGTTGTAGACCCCAGGGTCTATAATACGGGGGGGGGGGGGGGGGTACTCTATTTGATCCGTTTTAGTTATACCCCCCTTTCTAGTGCAGTCATTATAAGACCCCCCCATCCTTAGGAAGAATGTAGGATTTGCCATTTTTTTGTATGGAAATCGAAGCGATTTCGGAGAGAGAACAAAATTTCTCCCCTTCCGATGACTGCACGTGGGTATCGCGCAGTCAACGTGGTCAAATGATGTCCTTTTCGCCACTGCCAATGTGGTGATTTCTAATCTGTCCCGTGGCGAGAGTGATGGCACCTGGCAAAAACCTGAGGGTGGTGACATTTGCGCCTTCACGCACATTCACTGCCAAGCTGCGAAGTATAACTGCCACAAATATACACAACAAACATGAATTCATTCTATAAATGTTAAAAACAGTTACCATGTATTAAGACCCGAGTCTTATAAAATATATACCATTTAATTATACCCCCCAACTTTTTTAGGTCCGATTAACATAATCTAGGGTCTTATATACGGGGGTTTATGGTAAGAGCCCCGTGGGTCCTACATGAGGGGGGAGGGCTTTTCACCGGGATATTACGGTATGTGGCCCAAATTCTTTGATGGGTCACCTTTAATATGCTCATCTGTCACAGATGATCACCCAGTACCACCACTCATCACAAGCTTTTGGCAAGATATAACTGATGGAGTGACGAAGTTGGTTGGAACTGATCTGACGCAATGAGGGATTTTCAGAGTAATTAGGATATGCATGTTTTTGTCGTTTGCGCAAGATATCTGATGAAATTGTTGCTTTCGGGAACAATAATTTTGAAAACATTTCGTCTTAGCTCGCATGCAACCACACAATACATCAACCGACATAATTGCCCGAAGCTCACATGGTCGGGCGAGGAAATGATGTCCTAGCTTTCTGCTTCTTCCTCCTCCCCTTGGTCCCCGTTGCCTTGTGCAAGAAGAGAATGGGCCTGGTGCTGTCCCCTGTAGCACCTGGAACATTGTCCTGTTCAATGATTGGGGGTCAGCATGCAACCATGGTAGCAGAGAGAATGAAAATGGGCCCTGGCGCTGTCCCCACCAAGGCTTTTAGCAGTCACAACAAGCCCTGGTAGCACACTTCATACTCGTTATTGCATGCCATGGATGGTGCTGCAGGGAGAAACGCACCTTCAGAGGCGAATCACTATTCACCTCTTTTCCCTTTTCCTCTGCAGCTTGCGTACTTAGCTTGAGCAACAAAGAAGGGGGAGGAGTGCAAAAGAGGGGGAGGCGAGGAGCGTGTGTGATGGAGTGGAGAGGAGTGCTGGAGAGGGAAAGGAGGGGGTCGGCGTGTCGGTTGTAAGCGGGCAGGGGAAGGTGCAGCAGGTGCAGTAGGCGGGGGAGAACAGCGTCGATGCGAGCTCGGATGGTGATGGAAGCATGGCGGTCGAGAGGGGTGCGCTGGAGGTTGATGATGACGGCGTGGGTTGCCAGGCGAGGAAGCTTGCTGGCTGGTGGCACCTGGTGGGGTGAGGGGAGTCGGAATTTGAACATTCAAATCAAAGGGGTGCGCTGAAGGTTGGTGATAACGATGTGGGTGGCTAGGCGAGGGAGTTTGTTGGCTGGGGGCACCTGGTGGGGATGAGGGCAGGGAGAAAGAGAGAGGGGGCACAGTGGCATAAGCGCATGCTCGGATGGTGATGCATCCATGGCGGTCGAGAGGCGTGCGCTGGAGGTTGATGATGACGATGATTATGATGTGGGCTGCTAGACGAGGGAGCTTGCTGGCTGGTGGCACCTGGTGGGGGAAGAGGAGTAAAGGAAGTAGGAGGATCAACAAGTGGGCTGATCAAGGGGTGTGAGCTGAAGGCTGATGATTACCAAGTGGGTGGACAGGCGGGGGAGCTTGCTGGCTGGTGGCACCTCGTGGGGTGAGGGGAGCAAAGCAGTTAACGGCAGGAAGAGATCTTTGGGACGTCTCAGAAGTTAAGGGAAGTGGGAGTCTTAAGGCGTGGTGGGCAAGCAAGGGGCGTGGTGGGCAAGCAAGGGGCGTGGTGGGCAAGCAAGGGGCGTGGTGGGCAAGCAAGGGGCGTGGTGAACATTGATGCCGCAGATGTGGATGGCCAGGAGAGGAAGCTTTATGCTGTGGGACCTGGTGGGTTGAGGGAAGAAACGGAGAGTGGGTGGGTGGGACCATCCGCCTGTGCTGCCCCCAACGACCTCCTTCCCTGCCAGCCTTCTCATGCTCTAGTCATTTCCTATGTCCTATGCCTCTCAGCATCGTGTGTTATAGAGCAGGATTGAAGTGGCTCGAAATTGTGCCAATTCAGTCACGGACCTTGAAGGGACCGCCACCACTCAGACGGACCTTGAAGGAGGACCCAAGGCAGAGCGCCACGTGTGCGCCCATGCTTGCTTCTCTCGCCGTTCTCAGCTCCTCATCGTCTATCCTCTCCCCGAAGTGCACTATCGAATCCACCAACTCGCCCCCACACACGGCCCCACCCTCATGCCTCTCCTCCCCTCCCTCTTCTTCCCTCTCCTCCCCTCCCTTCGTCACCTCTGCTTGCTCCTCTTCCTGTGCTCCCCTGCCCTCACACACTCTTGTCACTTCTTCATTCTTCCCCCCTCCTTCCCTCTGCTGCTTCTCCTCCGTTTCTCGCCATCTCCTCACACCCTCCTCATCCTCCATCCTTGCATAATCACCCTCTTTATGATAGTCACGAACCATCGCTCGAGGATCCATCGCTCGAGGATCCATCGCTCGAGGAATTCCTTCAGAATCTTCTAAAGTCGCAGCTCCAGGTTCACGCCACTTCCTCCGCTCACCCAAAAGCACCTCTTGGTTCTCCTCTTTCACATTGCCCCCTCCTCCTGTGGACATCTGAGCTGACTTCTGAGTCAACTCAAAACTCGCCTTGCCAGGTTCATGCCTCTTCCTCCCCTCACCCACCAGCACCTCTCGGTTTTCCTCTTTCACACCGCCCCCTCCTCCTGCGGACATTCGAGCCCGCACTGCTGCAGAGCTTCTTGGCTTCCGAACAGGATTCTGGGCAGATTTTTGTACAGGATTCTGGACACTTGGCACTCTCCGTTGCTTCTCCTCCTCTTCTTCCTCCTCGTTCCCCTCCCTCTCGTTACACTCCTCCCTGGCAGATACATCAACAGTAGGATGTGCCGATTTAGAAGCACCAGCATCATCACCAGTGGCACATGCAGCAGCACCAGTGCCAGCACCACTGGCACACGCAGCAGCACCAGTGCCAGCACCAGTCACAGCGGTACACAACCTTCCAGTCTTGTGGCGGTGGTAGGACGACCCTCTGGCAGCAGTGACATCAAACGGACGCACGTACCCCGCCCCACACTCACGGCAACTCTCCCGGTACACCGATCCATGCAGCTCAGATAGCCGGTGAGAGGGGATGCCACTCCGAGAATGAAGGCCGTCTACTGTTGGGGGGAAGGTGGACGGGAGGGAGTATGGGTAGATGGGAAGTGAGAGGGAGGTGAGCGGGAAAGGTACCTCACTCCACCACCCATGCAGCTCCGATAGACTGTCTGATGGGATTCCGCTTCTGGAGTGAAGGCCGTCCACTGGTGAGGAGGGGAGGTGGACGGGAGTGAGTGAGAGGGAAAGGCATTTCGCCTCACACTCCCGGCATCTCTCGCGATACACTGATCCATGCAGCTCCGAGAGACACCTTGATGGGATGCCGCTTCTAGAGTGAAGGCCGTCCACTGGTGAGGAGGGAAGGTGGACGGGGAGGAGTATGGGTAGAGGGGAAGTGAGAGGGAGGTGAGCGGGAAAGGTACCCCACTTGACCACCCATGCAGCTCTGATAGGCAGCTTGATGTGATGCCAACTACGCGACTGAAGGCCGTCCACTGGTGAGGAGGGGAGGTGGACGGGAGGGAGGACGGGTAGAGGGGATGTGAGAGGGAGAGATACCCCGCCCCACACTCCAAGGCACCTCTCCAACCCATGCAGCTCTGGTAAATGGCTTGATGGGATGCCGCTTCGAGAGTAAAGGCCGTCCACTGGTGAGGAGCAGTGTGTTGGGAGAAGGAACGGGGAGAAAGGGTTGGTAAGCAGAAGGGGAAGCAAAACGGGAATAGGCAAGAAGAGGGCACAGTTACTTGGCCCGAAGATGACTTTTGAGTCGACTCAAAAGTCACCTCATAAGAGGGCACAGTTACTTGGCCCGAAGATGACTTTTGAGTCGACTCAAAAGTCACCTCATAAGAGGGCACAGTTACTTGGCCCCAATCACCTGGCACCTCTCCCGGTACACTGATCCATGCAGCTCCGATGGAAGATTGGGGGGGAGAGGAGAGGTGACTTTTGATTTGACTCAAAAGTCAGCACGATTGGGGGAGAGAGTAGAGGTGACGGGAGGGAGAACGGATTAAGGGAAAACGAGACCTTGGGAAATCCACCCCGTGCCACTCCCCTGGCACATCTCCCAGTACAGAGACCCATGCAGCTCAGATGGACGATTGGGGGGGGGGGGATGTCGCTACGAGAGTAAGGTCGTGCAGTGATGAGGGGTTGAAAGGGTGTTTGGGAGAGGTATGGTTGAGGGGAAGTGAGAGGTGAGCGGGAGAAAAGTGATAAGTGAGAGGGAAGTGAGTGAAAAGGCAAGAAGAAGCGAGAGAAAGTGAGAGGGAAGTGAGTGAAAAGTGAGAGAAAAGTGAGAGGGAAGTGAGAGAGAAGTGAGAGGAAAAGGTAACTACCCTACCATCCTGACATCTCTCCGAGTACCATTTCCATGAGAGGGAAGTGAGAGGGAAGTGAGAGGGAAGTGAGAGGGAAGTGCGAGGGAAGTGAGAGGGAAGTGAGAGGGAAGTGAGAGGGAAGTGAGAGGGAAGTGAGAGGGAAGTGAGAGGGAAGTGAGAGGGAAGTGAGAGGGAAGTGAGAGGGAAGTGAGAGGGAAGTGAGAGGGAAGTGAGAGGGAAGTGAGAGGGAAGTGAGAGGGAAGTGAGAGGGAAGTGCCATTGTGTTGCACTTGCACTATCCCAGCTTGTGACATCTCTGCCCCTGCAACCATCTCTGTAATAACACGCTGGCTTGTGATACCTCTGCGCCTCCAACCACCCCTGCAATAACACACCTGCCACTCCTATTGCCAACCCACCGTTCTGAGTCATCGATGCCACCGCTTCTCACCACCACTGCTTCCACCCCAGCTTGTAAGAGCGTAGCCAGAATGACTCTCCCAACTCAACCCACCGTTTTGAGTCGCCGCGTGTTGCACTATCCCAGCCCGCACCATCGCTGCCAGCGCAGCAACTTCTCAACCAATTGTCTCAGCACAAATAATACAGTGTGGTAGTCCCAACTCACCATTCTGAGTGACCACGTGTTGCACCATCCCACCCCGCAACATCATTGCCACTGCAACCACCCTGCAACAGCACCTACCTATTATCTATCTGCACCCACCCTTCTGTTGCACCCACCGTTCTGGGTCACCACGTGCTGCACTACCCCAGCCCCCCACCACCATCGCTACCCTTACGACCACCCACCAACACCCTGTAGCTTTTTATTTGCACCCACCATTCTGAGTCACCACGTGCTGCACTATCCCAGCCCGCACCATCGCTACCACTGCCATGTGCCCTAGCGGCTGCCAGCCCAGGTAGTTGTACAGATAAGCCATTGTAACTTTCCCACCTAGCCTTACCGTTCTGAGTCACCACGTGCTGCACTATCCCAGCTCGCACCAACGCTGCCACAGCCATGTGCCCCACCGTGGGGGAAGCTTCCTCGTACTTCCTCCCCATGGCTGCCGCAGCTTCCTCCCACCTTCCCTCCCCCTGCAGCGTCCACACACCCTTGGGCCCTCTGAAGTCTGGTATGCCTGCTGCTGTGCTCAGCCCCGCCCCACTGTGAACCACCAGGCCCCCTCTCCCTGTCCCCAGTCCCCCTCCTCTCACTCTTACTGCCCCTGCTGCTGCTGCGACTGCGGCTGCTTCTGCTACTGCTGCAGCATCTGTTGCTGTCCCTGCTGCTGCTGTTTGGCTGTTGCCCCCCGCTTTTCCAAATCGCCGGCATTCCAGCACCAGCTGCAGCAGCTGCTGAATCTTCGCCTCTACTTGCTCGGGTGGGTCCTCGTCCTGTGGAGCAAGCAGAGAGGGAATGGGGGTGGGCGGTGAGGGGCAAGGAGAGTGAGGCACCTGAAAAATCCTGCTGAATCTTCGCCTCTACTTGCTCGGGTCGGGTGGGTCCTCGTCCTGTGGGCAAGCGGAGGGGGGGAGAGGGAAAGGGAGAAGGGGTGTGAGCAGCAAGGGAGCGGGTTGAGGCGACTGAAAGATCTGCTAGGTCCTCAAGACGTTGCTGGGCATCAGCAGCCCCTTCTGCGAATCTCCGGCTGCTCATCCCCGAAAAGCAAGACTTTTGTCTCCAGCACCAGCTGCAGCAGCTGCTGAAGCTTCACGTCTACTTGCTCTGGTGGGTCCTCCTAATGCAGAACCACGGGAGTCGGGGGGAGTGAGGGGGGAATGGGGTGAGAGGAGAGGGGGAAGGAGGGCGGGCGATTGCGGAGGGGACTAGGGGTGAGGCGCCTCAGAAGTCTGCTGAATCTTCCCCTCTTATTGCTCGAAGGGTCCTTCTCCTGTGGGGATGGGGCAGCGGGGGAGGGGGTTGGCGGAAGAGGAAGGTGAGCGTGGGTTGGGTGGGGCGAGGGTGAGACTTTGGTGCATCAAGAGAGCTACACCCTTCTCTTGCCTCCTTTGAGATGGCAAGAGACTCTCTTGCTCCGGGCGATCCTCCTCCTATGGGGATGGCGCAACGGGAAATGGCCCGGATGGGGGGGAGCCCGACAGGTGAAGGGGGGTAGAGAGGGTGGGGAGTGGAGGGGAGAGAGGGTGCTGATGGGGGTAAGTGCGGCGGACGAATCTTGAGTCGACTCAAAAGTGGGGGGTGGAGGGGAGAGAGGGCCGATGGGGGAAAGCGGGGCGGGCGGGGGCCTAAGTGGCAGTACGGTGAGCCAACGGCGCAACCACCACCGCGCACGCGTATCCTGCAGCTCTTCCCCATCGACCATTGCTTGTAACGCGATGTCATATTCGTGAGTATACACGCATGCGTTGAGATGGCCCAGAGCAAGTTGCCCAACTTGAAAAAAAAAAAAAGAATCAGATGTGACATTTTGCTCGCGGACGGAAGGGGAGAAACCAACCTCTTTTGAGAATTCTCAAAAGCGATTCTCAAAAGAGAATTCTCAAGCGGACGGAAAGGGAGAAACCAACCTCTTGCAGTCGCTCTTTCTTCTGCTGCTGCCGTTCCTTCGCTTTCTCCAACGACCGAGAGATCTGCAAAGCACATAACAAGAAGGTGGTTATTATTCCGCTTTGAGTCAACTCTCAAACATTCTCTCTAAAAGAAATCTGAAACATTCTCCGCTTTGAGAAAGATCTGAAAAGAGAAGGCAGCCTCCCACGCACCCACCCACGAAACAGCAACCTCGCATTGCTGGTGACACGTGTCAAATGCTCGTCACATTGCTGAGGACACGTGACACGAGGCTTCCAATGAAACGAAGTTCATGTAGCAACGGTCACTGGGAGGGCAACAGTCACCAGAAGACATGCGAGGCTACGGGAAACTATCAACCTCGCATGCAGATCAACCATAGGCAACTTTGAAGACAAAGAGAGAGCAGCATGCGGAGCACGGGCCACTTGACGGGCTTTCAACCGTGAGAGGGTGTGACACGACGTGCGACGCCATGCGACCGTCTCACCTCGCGTGCGATGCGGCTGTTGGCTTCCAGCAGGCGACTCTCCTCGTCGCTCCTCGCGCTCTCCGCCTTACCCAGCGCCGCGCGCACCGCCTTCCGCACCCGCCGCTCCTCCGCTTCCGCTACCGACTTCGCCGCCCATTCCCGCTTCCGCTTCTCGCGCTCGCTCTCCATTGACGGTTAAAAGTCCGCTCGCAACTGGCTAGCAGTCGGTTAGCAGTCGGTAACAGCCGGTTACCAGTCGATTGACAATGATAGGTTGGCAGTGGGACGGTACTTCTTTACCTAATCGAAGGAACGGGCGAATCAAAGGAGCGGTCCGTCTACACAGAACTAACTGACAGAGTGTTTCGAGATCGAAAATTTTTTACGCGCCGCGATGCGCGGAACAATCATACGCGGCAAGGCAATGTGCGTGCGAGCGAGGGAGAGGTGAAACAGAGGTAACTTTGCCAGCACCGCACGGACAATCACGTTGAAACCCGAAAGAAACACGAACTCTACGTTATGGAGTGGAGAAGGAGAAGGAGCCGACCCCCTGGTTCTACTCCCAATAGCACATGTGCGATGACGCGTTCGCTGCTCACTTCGTATCTAGCCGTTGGCGCGTTTGTGCTGAATGGCGATCGACGGCCAGCACGTGACTTGTCACAGAAACAAGCGGCTCAGATGAGAGCCCTGCCTGACAAGGAGGCTGCAGCAACTTTTTTCGAATCTTTGAAAAAACAGCGGCATTTCTGTTGCTTCGTTAGGAATCACTGTATGTTCCTGACTGTAGATGGAACATTATATGAAAAAAACCTACAAAGCACAGCACCAAAGGGTCATCTGGGATACACGAGAGATTGTAGAGCAGATGACAAGACAGCCTCATATGCAAAAAGGAAGCTTTCGCCTCTTCCTGGCCCTCATCGTCATGTATGTACCTTAGCCAGTGTTACCGGTATGACCTTACGCTTAATGGTCGAATTGGTAACCGGAAAATTAGCCCAACTTGCGCATCACAAGCTGGTGTGAGCCAGTTTGGAGGAAAAAAGTACGCTATATCTGGTGGAACATCTATGCCACACTCATTTTACAGAAGAAAACACATCGAACAAAAACGTATTCAATGCTCATATTATATCGGACTCTGGATGTCCCGTATCGAACGAGAAGGCGCGTTCCATTTCAGGCCGAGGGTGTCATGCCATTTCATCTCAGACGGAGGGTGTCATCTGCTCTGCCTCTGTCCGCAGGGCAGAGAAGAGTACTGATGACAGGTACCGCTCTCCAAAGCTCGGCAGCACCACCTGTCGCGCGCAAAAAAGAGAGGGGGGGGGGGGGGGAGGGGGGGGGGGGCGGGAGGGGTTGGAGAGGGGCGGTTGGGAGGAAAGGAACAGGATGAGGGAGAAGAGTTAGTGGGAAACAACAAAAGCACTGACGATAGGTAGCGCAGAATCACCAAAGCAGGGCAGAATCACCTGGGAGTGCCAGAGAGGAGAGGGAGGATGAAGGGAGGGAGTGTGAGTGGAAAAGGACGAGAGCACCGAGGAGTGGTAGTGGCGATTGCCAAAGCTGGGGGGGCACCACATGGATTTCTCAGAGTAAGTGGTGAGAGAAAGAGAAAAGAGACGCAGGCGGAGAGAATTTCGAAATCACGCGGTGCGAAGAGGGAGTGGAGAGAAGTGCGAGTGGGCTACCCACACGAGCATGGGAGAGTGACAAGAACACACTGCACATGATGTATGGTGGTTTTGAAAGACCTGCCAGCAGGAGGATTACCAAGGGTTACTCACGGCGACCAATCGCTCTCGAGGATACTCAGAAGCTAGTCAGACTTGTCAAAAAGGGGATACCGAGAGGCAATCACGACAATCAGCTTGCCGGCATTCTCACAAGCGAGTCAGACTAGTCGGCACGGAATACAGAGAGATGCTCACAACGACAACTTTCTCTCGAGGATACTCAGAAGCTAGTCAGACTTGTCAAAAAGGGGATACAGAGAGGCACTCACGACAATCAGCTTGCCGGCATTCTCAGGCCGCTTGGCCACTTGAAGCGCCGCCACCACCGCTGCCCCTGACGAGATTCCCACCTGCACAAGCAGCGAATGACAAAGACGTGATTTAAAATTTCCTTTCCTTTTTCTCAGGAAGGAGGGAGAATTGGAACAGAGAGCAGAGATGAGATGGTGGTGTCCTTCAAACGCAGTAGGGACGATTCTGAGCACCACTGATGGGCATAAGCAGGTGCGCCTCAATCCACTCTTGAGGATTCTCAGAAGTGATACGGACATAAGGAGATGTGCCTGTTACTGAAACGAGAGTGTCGATCAAATATCATTTTCTGAACAGGCAAAAAAAAATCCAGGCGAGAAGATCACGGATAACCCGAAAGATACGCGAGGAGAGGCAGGCAGAGGAATGTGGGAAGAGGAAGCGTACCAACAATCCCTCCTTCACTGCGAGGTCCTTGGCCATGGCCACCGAGTCATCGCTGCTCACCTGCAGAGAGAGCACGATGTAAGGGATGATCACATATCCAACAAAGGACGGCACATGGTTTGTTAGAATTCTATGAAAGGTCTTCTAAGGTCTTCTAAGGAGCAGATAGGAGAAATTCTTCCAGATGCCCGCCACATCCAGAATGCTCAGCCCAGGCAGTTAGGTGTGATGACTGTTTCACAAATCATGATGGCATGACGCATGCGCTTCTGATGCAAGGTTGGAGTCATTCTTAGATTTCTCAAACATGATGCATGTGCTAGTCATGCTAGTGCAAGCAGGCACGCACCGGAATGACCTCGTCCAGCAGCCCCACGTCCAGAATGCCCGGCACAAAGCCAGCTCCAATACCCTGAATCTTGTGCGGACCTGCACAGGGAGAGGAGAGAGGGAACCAAGTGACGGGGAAACACAAAGCCGTGTTGTATGTACAGTCATCATGTGACATGTGCATGAAACATGTACAGTGCAGGATGCCATGTGAATGTTGCCCTTGCCTGTACCTACTGCAACCCATACCTACCCATACCACACCTACCTCGGCCCCTACCATACCTGCCTCGGCCCATACCTGGCTTGCCACCGGACAGAATGGCGCTCTCCTTGGGCTCCACACCGATGATCTGCAGCGCATTACAGGGGGTGAGGGGTGGGAGGGGAGGGAGAAAGGCGGGAAGAAAGGGGGGAACAAAGGGAGGACGAAAGACGGACAGGGAAAGGGTGAGAAGGACGTTGGTTGCCGGACAGAATGGTGCACTCCTTGGGCTCCACACCGATGATCTGCATCAAATCAGATGACAGGGGGTGGGGGGGGGAGTGTTGGGGGAGGGCGGGAGGGGGGTTGGGGCGAGGGAGAGGGGAGAAGAGAGGGGAGATGCAGGTGAGAAGGACGTTGGGTGTCGATATTATCGGCTTTGGTTGGGTTCTACAGTGATTATCTGCAACCGTTTCAGGGAAGGTGGAAAAACGGGTGGGAAGGGGGTAGGCAGGAAGCGGGGACAGGGAAGAAGGGAAGATAAAGACTGGTGGAAAAAGCCCATACCAGTGCGGACAGAAACAGGTTGCTCTTCAAACGCCCATACCAGTGCGGACATTGACACATACTAGTGCTAGCGCCCCCTCTCCCCCTCGGTACAATCACACGCACCTTGACGCCAGGCTTCTTGCTGCGCAGGTAGCGTCCCACGCCAGTGACGGTGCCGCCCGTGCCTATCCCCGCTATAAGGATGTCCACCTGCCCGTTAGTGTCCTCCCAGATCTCAGGCCCCGTTGTCTCAAAGTGCACCTGCATCACGCCACATAGAAAAATCCGAGGCAAAGAACATCAACCAGAGGAAAGTGGCAGCACGATTCGCCCTTCATGCCCTTGGCGGGGTCCCGGAACACCCGGCCCGAGTTTTGAGACGTCTCAAAAGCCTCAGGTCCCGGAGCACCGGGTCCCCAACAGGTCTGCGAGCACCGGGTCCGCCCCAAACGCCTTCCAAAGCTACCAAAGCGTCCCAAAGCAGTGACATGCATAAAACGTCTCAGAACAAGCCCAGCCCCTCCAAAACCGAGGATTTATTAGAAAACATGAAAGCTTGAAAATTCTACCTTGGGATTGGCGGGGTTTTCAAACTGCTGCAGCATGTAGGCGTTCTTGGTGCCCTTCACAATCTCCTCCGCCTTGGCCACAGCGCCCTTCATACCCTTGGCAGGGTCCGTGAGAACGAGGTCGGCCCCGAAGGCCTTGAGCAGCACGCGGCGCTCGAGGCTCATGGAGGCGGGCATGGTGAGGACGAGCTTGTAGCCCCTCGCCGCTGCTATGAACGCCAAGCCGATGCCCGTGTTGCCCGACGTCGGCTCAACCAGCACGCTCTGGGGAGGAAAGGGAGAGGTCCAGAGGGACACAAGAGAACAAGGGACTGCCATGAGGTCAAGCCGATGCCCGTGTTGCCCGACGTCGGCTCAACCAGCACGCTCTGGGGAGGAAAGGGAGAGGTCCAGAGGGACACAAGAGAACAAGGGACTGCCATGAGGTCAAGCCGATGCCCGTGTTGCCCGACGTCGGCTCAACCAGCACACTCTGGGGAGGAAAGGGAGAGGTCCAGAGGGACACAAGAGAACAAGGGACTGCCATGAGGTCAAGCCGATGCCCGTGTTGCCCGACGTCGGCTCAACCAGCACACTCTGGGGAGGAAAGGGAGAGGTCCAGAGGGACACAAGAGAACAAGGGACTGCCATGAGGTCAAGCCGATGCCCGTGTTGCCCGACGTCGGCTCAACCAGCACACTCTGGGGAGGAAAGGGAGAGGTCCAGAGGGACACAAGAGAACAAGGGACTGCCATGAGGTCAAGCCGATGCCCGTGTTGCCCGACGTCGGCTCAACCAGCACGCTCTGGGGAGGAAAGGGAGAGGTCCAGAGGGACACAAGAGAACAAGGGACTGCCATGAGGTCAAGCCGATGCCCGTGTTGCCCGACGTCGGCTCAACCAGCACGCTCTGGGGAGGAAAGGGAGAGGTCCAGAGGGACACAAGAGAACAAGGGACTGCCATGAGGTCAAGCCGATGCCCGTGTTGCCCGACGTCGGCTCAACCAGCACGCTCTGGGGGGACGAAAGGGGGAAGGGGGGAGGAAGACGGGCACATATGAGCCCAAGGCAACTGATGCCCGTGTTGCCCGACGTCGGCTCAACCAGCACGCTCTGCTCAATGGGGGATGGGGAGGAAAATCAGGACAGGGAATTTTGTAACCAGGAAAAGTTTACCTCTGATGCCCGCGTTGCCCGAAGTCGGCTCCACCAGAACGCTCTGTTAGGGAAAGTACAATGGGGAACACGGGATAGTGGTAGGGGGACACATGAGCTCACACCAACCCGATGCCCATGTTGCCTTGCCCCACGTCAGCTCCACCAGCACCCTCTGCTTGGATATGCGGAACAAAGAGGAACCAAAGTGACACAAGGATATGAGGACAAGGGGGCAAAGGGAACAATGGAACAAGGAAGAAACAAGGGGTCAATGGGGCACGGAAATAAGGGGACAAGGGCCCACCACCGTGGGTGGGCGGGATCCCGAAACAAGGAGGAAAGTCTGTAAGAAGCGAGGAAGTTGAAGCCCAACGACCACGACACTGGCTGGCCGTGCTGAGGTAGTCGACTGAGACAATCAATGCGTATCCAATCAGGACGCAGTGAAGCAAAACACGAAGCTGGAAGAGCACAAACGTGGAAGAGCACAGGGAGGCTGACCTTGCCTGGAGCAATCACCCCTCGCTCCTCAGCGTCGTTGATCATGCTGTACGCGATTCTGTTAGGCAGGACGGAACAGGACGGGACGGGACGGGACGGGACGGGACAGGAAGGGACGGAAACACGAAAGGCTAATATTGCGCCTTCAAAGCTGGAACAGTAAGCTATCACTCCCCAGCATCGCTGCACATGCTGTACTAGATGTCATGATGTGATCAGCAGGACAGGACGGAAGAACAGGAGGAGGGTGGCAAGACTTGAGAAGGAGTTGGCAGAGCCACTTGGCTTCGAAGATGCGAGATGTCAGAGACATCAAAACGAAGTTGGGAAGGAACCAAACGTCACTTTAACTTCACTGCAGCACCGTCTTGTCCCTGAACGCGACAGCTCAAAACGAGACACATGAACAACGTGCATAAATCAAAACGGCACAAGGTCTTCCAAGCTCTAACATGCTGACAGCTCTAACCAAAGAAAGGACATGTAGCAACAAACCTGTCCTTGACGCTGCAGCAGGGCTCCATGATTTCGAGCTTCCCTGCGATGGTTGCCAGGGCGCCATCCACAACCTTGTTGAGATACACCATGGGGGTGCTGCCGATCAGCTGGTATGACGATCAATGAGGAAGGGAAAAAGGGAGAGGCACAGCCGCACATGGACAGAGGGTGATAGATGAGGCGCCATCAGCAACCTTGTTGAGATACACCATGGGCGTGCTGCCGATCAGCTGGTGAGACGATCAATGAGGAAGGGGGAGGGTGAAAAGGAAAGGCACAGGGTCAGCGGGCGACAGGTGAGGCACCATCAACGACCTTGCTGAGATACACCATGGGGGTGCTGCCGATGAGCTGGTAAGACGATGATCAATGAAAACAGGAAAGCATAGGGACAGAGGGACGGATGAGGCAACATGGACGACTGTTGAGATACACCTTGGGGGTGCTGCCGATCAGCTGGGTCAATGATCAATGTAAAAATGAAATTATGGGGATAGTGGGTGACATACGAGACGCCATGATCGACTAGTTGAAATACACCATACAGGTGCTGCAAATTTTGATCTTTAAAACATTTTTAGAAAACACAGGATAGCGGGTTATGGGTGAGGCACCATTGACGATGTTAAAGACTAGGGGTATGTAAGGATTACTTGGGCCTAACAGAAATATAAAGCACAAATCACTGTCGTCGGCGTCTAAAAAACGGATTCCTGAGAAGCAGGGAACGGCGAGAAGAATGCGCCAATGGCTTAAAATACAAACATTCGTTGAAGGACACGATTGGTAACCTGTGTAACATCCTCTGCGATGTTCAGCGTCTGCGTCGCTCCCTCCGCTTCAACCGCTTGAGCGTTCGCCGACACGTTGTGCTTTCGCTGCCGAGCAGAACCCGCCTCGCATCTGACACCCGTGTCGCGAAACGCGGTGACCACACACGGGTTCGCCTGAGCGAGCGAAACCCGGGAACCGGCAAACGAGCTCCTCAATTCGACATTCGCGACGCCTGATGCCGCCGTAAAGCAGCGCGAAGAAAGCGAGGTGGCCATGGAAGCAGACTCGGAAACGTAGAATGTGCGACGATTGGGAACGGGAGATCCGGCGAGGTGCACGGATCAGAATCTCTCCGCTGACGACACAGACGGAGCAGCGAGAACGTTATACCAGGCGAATCACACACCTAATGGTTCTGTGACTCGAATTCTTTCAGAACACTGAGATAAAGAAGCACCTAATGGCCTGGTCAGCTAGTTAGCTATCTGTGGAACTTGTGGAGCTTTGGCGGGAGAGGTTGTAGTTCCAATCTGCGGTTCTGCCTTTCGGTGCAGCTCGATCCATTGCAGCTATCCGAGGTGTGATGCGGTACTGACGGTTTCCCGTGGAGAAGTGTGTCCTGCTGATTTGGTTCCTGCGCGAAGGGCAGCGATCGATCCAGGGGGTGACGGCGACTCTGGCGAAAAATAACTGGAGACAAGTACGGTAACCCGTTGAGGTCAACAGAATTTGGAGGAATCGAGTCGGGTGACGTGGCCTCTGCTTGCATGAATGCTGGAGGCCGAGAATAACCGGCTAATTTGGACAATGCACCAGATGCACTGGATCTACTCATTGTACACTGTCATTGGACCATCTTTGTGATCTTAGCGCCATAACATTTACAACTCTGCAGGTAGGCCAGTAAGAAGTGACTAGATAGTTGTACATAACACACATCAAGCTTAGACCACATGCATGTGCAAATCTAGCACGTTGAGGTCACGCCATGGTATACCTCAGAAACTCAGTCATCTTCGTCCACTAACAGAGCATCCGCCAATGCTACAAGAGCAAGAACAAGCGCCATGTCCACATTCGGCATGATTCGGATGAAGTACGTCTACGCATCGAAAGCGTATTTCCTTGCGTCCAAGAGGTTCTGATGAACTTCAGCAAGCAATATTCCACTGTTGGTGGTGATCTGAAACAAAGGGGATGAATTGCGAGACACACAAAACGTTGAATAAAGCTGGTTTCTCGCTGTCAATATATTTGTGCTGAGTGGCAAACAAGGGTTGTAACTTGCTGACTCGACTTGGGAAAGATTCAGAATGAAACTCTTCAATTAAGAAAAGGGTTGAAACCCACACACTCAAATGAAGGTGGTTTCTCGCTGTCAGAATATATATCTGTGCTGAGTGGACCACGGTTCGAGCAGATAAAGGTTGTGCCCAGAGTCGGCTTGGGAAAAGTTCAAAATGAAACTATTTTAATGAGAAAAGGGTTAAAAACCACATACCTTGAAATTATGCTCGAGTATTGAGCCACTTAATACTATGTCTGGATTGTCAGAAGCATTGCCCCTTATAAACGCCTGTGTGAAAGGAAACATCACAAGGAAGCAGGAACGCACAGACTAGATGTTCAGAAATTTGGAGCCTGGCATGTGCAGACTAAAAGGGTTGACTATGGTGAAAAAACAAAGGGATGAAAACAAACTAGAGAGAGAGAGAGAGAGAGAGAGAGAGAGAGAGAGAGAGAGAGAGAGAGAGAGAGAGAGAGAGAGAGAGAGAGAGGACCTTGCTTGCATGCTTGCATGAAACAAATTTACTTGCATGCTTGTAGCATGCAAGAAACAAATTTACTTGCATGCTTGTACCTTGCTGCAATATCAATACACGGACCTTTAGAGAGAGAGGAGAAAAAAACTGCAACATCAGCAAAAGAAACAAGCAAGATTCGGCCAGGGAGCCAAGACAAACAGGAAGAAAGGAGCATCTCTCACCTTTAGCACTGGCTTAAAGCTTAAAATGGACTTTCTGGCCTTGAGGAGATAATTGTCCGTGTTCGTGCTGTTTCCTGGGCAAAGGTACGCTGTGTCGCGTAGCGAAAGCACCTTGCTGACTACTGTTTAGATCCTAGAGAGTTTGCTAGAACTCAATCACCCGGACATCAAATATGCTTGAACACGCAACGCAGGTTACCGTCTTCCCAAGACGAAGATTGAACCTTGCGAGCTGTTTACCTACTTACTTGTCAGCGATCCTAAATTGAAGCTGGTTGTTGGCATCACGCACTTCCTTGGCGTCTCGGAAGGAGAAGATCTTGTCCTTCATTACAAGAACAGTCTCGTACGGTGCGCAGTACTGCGACCCAACCACCAAGTACGGCTGCACCCGCGGCACTTGTATCTGCGACTCCATTCTTCCGCATTTCCGAAAGAATCTCTCGTACAAGGGTCCTCACAAACAAGTGCACCTCGACAAAAAGACCGAGCGCGCGTGGAATGAAGGACTGACGAAGACTTAAAGCTCACGCTGCCTTTACGGACCAGACTGCCTAACGAAGCATCGAACACGACTGCGAACAGCCTTTACGAGCAACGCATTTTCACCCGAATGAGACCAGCCGAGCGCAGCGACTTCGTCTGAGACGCGTGGTGGGGGAGAGAGACGGCGGCTCGGTCGACAATCTGACTCTAAGCGCCACCTGGAAGCGTCAGTCATCACGCCAGCTCGAGTTTCAGGACTTCGAAATAAGAAATCCCGTAACACTGTATCGAGAAAACTAAGAATCATTCCAGCTCGACAAACGTTCAACCCCTGTCTAACCTTCGCAAGACCTAAGTTCGAATCAACCATGCAAGGTCTAAGGCTGTTCCGTTCGGCTGCATTGTGCCACGTGGAAGCAAAGGAAGCACGAGACCAGTCGGGAGCCGCAGTCGGCTGGATGAACACAACGGCTAGAAATGTTCGCCTTCGTTTCATTCTGCTGCGTATGGGCATGGCGGGGCGTGGTGCCACGAAGGCGAACATTTTCAGCAAAACGTGTCTATGGTGCTATGGTGTGACACGTTTTGCTACGGTGCTATGCGATTTTTAACCTACGCGAAGTGAGTTTTCCAACCGAGCTGCGAAGGATGTTCACAGGGCGATCGAGCGCGGCGGAATACGGTCTTAGACAGAATGCAATAATTTGAAATTACGGTAAAAGTCACACTATAAGGGTTATTTCCTGCAGGGGCATTTGTGTCACAATTCGATTGTGACACGCAAATACTGCATAGGTTGCGTTGTGTCGCAAACGCGTGTTGTCCTAATGCGAATTGTGGTGTATTTTACATTGGTAAACGTGGAAAACGCTAAAGTCGCGGACAAGTGTCAAACAATACATTCCTAGAGTTGTGTTGGGCTGAGAAAAAGCCCTTAGGATCTTTGCAGGGATGAACTCTGGGTAGGACTGATGTAATAGCGGAAGCTTTTAATGAAGTAGTTGAACCACCTTGCGCTAGTATGTGAGGGCAAAGTAGATTGATTAAAACAAAGAGATACAAGATTATATAAGAGTACAAGGAATACGAAGAGATACGGTTGTAACTACTTTACTGTTGCTGTTGCGGTTCGATACAGTGACGACTCGGGCAACTGCTCTGTAGCGAGTCAGTTGTGTGTCCTTGTGTCAGAATGTTATAATTGTCTAGCCTGCAGTGGGGTACTCTATAGCGAGTACAACCCAATTAGGGTTTTCTATATGTATGCCAACTGCTGCTAGTCCAAACCCTCCTTTCTTCATTCTTACTTTCTACTGCTAGTTCTGACATGCTATCAGAGCAGGTCGACCCTCTTGGGTCGATCCTGTGGGTGGGCCCACCACCTCACTGCTTCCGCTGCTACTGCTACTCTGTGTGTTGCACGCCCCGTGGCGTGCGACGGATTTTTCATCCCGCCGCGCGCTCGGAGCGTGCGGCGGTTTTCTGCCCGCCGTGCGCCCCGAGGCGCGCGGCGGTTTTCTGCCCGCCGTGCGCCCCGAGGCGCGCGGCGGCTTTCTGCCCCGTCACTCCGCGCGTCGCTCCCGGGAGGCGCTGCGACGGGCGACGGGGACCCGCGCGTCGCCCCCCGTCGCCCGTCGCGGCCTGCGCGACCTGCGTAGGGCCCGCGCGCGGCCCATACAGCCTGCGCGCGGCCCGTACGGGCAGCGCCAGGCCCGCGCGCGGCCCGTACGGGCTGCGCCAGGCCAGGGCGCGCCTCGGGCCGCCCGCACGCGGTTCGTACGGGCTGCGCCAGGCCCGTGGGCGCCCTGTTTCCTCTTCCCCTGCACTGCCCGCTGTCCCCCG